CGAGAAGCGTTGCTCCTCCTCACCCCTGCTCCCCACCTCACTCTCCTCTCCTTTCCAACCCTTTCTCACTCCAATCTCCTTAGTTTCTGGTGCATCGTCCCTATATCGGAAGTGAGAATTTTAAAAATTAGGTCACAGAAGAGACTCTGCCTTGTGCAGTCATGAGGAGAGTGTGGGCAGGAAGGGAGGTGAAGCCACAGAGGACAATAGGAGGGGCGAAAGGGAGGAGTGACCCAGAACTGAAGCAGGTGGGGTCAGCACAGGACCAGCTGCATGGGTGTCTCTCTTGTTCCACCTGTGGGACCAAGACTTCAACGTATGGGCCTGGAATATTCCAGAACACCAGGGAAGCAGTGTGGGGCGCCCGCCAGAGACCGGAGGCCCATGCGTCCCTTCCTGTGAGATGCGGGTCCTCCAATTCTGCCTCTCCGCATTGTTTGAGAAGTCCCTCCAGAAAAGAAGCCCTCCTCCCTGCCCCATGTGGGGCTGCCTCCGGAAGCGGGGCCCAGGCGGATCCTGACCCTCGGGCCAGTCCTGCACGTGTGGAAGATACCCAGTTTGCATCATGGCGTCATGTCAACAAGTGAAGCGGAGGTCTCCCTCTGCCCGCCGCTCTGAACTGTCCTGTTCAGAGTCCCTGGTAAAGACTCATCCTTCCTGGGTCAGAAGAGGAACTTGGAGGTGGGGGCAAGCCCTGATGTTGAGGCAAGCGCCCACAGATGAGGGAGGACCTTCCCATTCCCAGCGGCCAGGAGGAAGCCAGGCCTTGCTTGCTAAGCCTTTGAAAAAAAGGCATCATCCCTAGAGAGAGAGGGATGTCACCTTCTTCCCCCTTCATCTCCGCCCCAAAGCCACTGGGGTTCAGCTGACAAGTCACAAGAAACGGCTGATGACTGACTCATCAAACGGATATAAGCGTGCCAGAGGACCAGGCCGCGAGCTGGGTTAACCTCCAGGGTAGCTCAGCTGAGGATCCCCAGCTGGGCTCCCACCTCCCTGGGCTCCCGGGGCCCAGCACCTGGGGCAAGTCCTGCCTCTAAGAGGAGAGTGGGGCAAGCTCTAGATGGCCTCAGGATGCCAGGGAGGCTGGCACACCAGGAACTCTGCCCAATGCCCATCCGTAGAGAAGGCCTTGATGGCCTCCAGTCCACAGCCAGCGACACTGAGGCTAGGAGATGCGGAAGTTGCAGGAGCTGGGAGAAGGGGAGACGCATGGTCCAGCAGGCAGTGGAGATGTGTGGAGAGCAGCCTTTAGTCAGCCTTTAGTGCGCTGACCCCTAATGGTGGGGTGGGGTGGGGTGACGGGGAGGCAGGAGAGGCCTTGGCTGAGACTGTTCATTTGCATCTTGTGTTTGTGTCAGTTACAGTGGGACACAATAGGGCAGAGTGACTCATTCCTACCGCATTATACTTGTCCATTGCGGCAGAGCTGGGTGGAGGGGGTCTTTAAACCCAGTTCCCACGGTAAAACCCTTGCTCCAGACTAGAGACACCTGGGCTCCATGGGGCACCACGGTCATTGCCCAGATCAACCAGGAGTGCTGCTTCTGTGATCCTTGGTCCTCTCTCTGGAGCGTGGGCAGTTGTGTAGACAGACATGGTGGCCTCGAGATCCCCAGTAATTGGGAGACTGGGTCTCTTAAAGCAAGATCATGTTATAATTAATTGAGTTTTCACTTATGGGGTAGAAGCATGAACTGATTTTATTTTTCTTCCGGTAACTGTATTTGACAGTGCTGCGGGGTAGTGTGTGGTAGTGGCCAAGAGGCAGACTCCCTGGGTTCATACCCTGGCTTTGCCACCTCCTAGCTGTGTGACTTGAGACCAGTTGTTTAGCTTCTCGGTGCCACAGAGAAGTGTCCCAGCTTTTTATCCAGCCCCCTGCAGCTTCCCCCAGAGGTGGTCTAACCTGTAGTGGCCTCTTACTGCTACGCTTCCCTCACTTGCTGGGCGCCCTTCCAGGTGAAGTATCAATAATACAGCTCAAATCCAGTTTTTGTTCCTAGTATGCACCACCCTTCAGCGCGCGCGCGCGCGCACACACACACACACACACACACACACACACACACACACACACTGCTCCTCTCAGCTCTGCCATGGCTCACGGGGAGCACAGAAGGAAGCATGCTGGCTGTGTAGAGAGTGAACTGAGAACAATGGCAGTGTCCCCACCTGGCAGCCAGAATAAGGGATTCTCTTACAGCCCCCGTGCCCTTGGCTGACAACCCCTCCTCTCTTCCCAGTGTTCTTGTACTGATGTGGGCAGGTGGGTAGCTGTGCTGGTTCCCAGCAAGACCGCTGGCATAGTTGCTGGTTCCCATCCCTGACAGCTCAGCGTGCCCCTCAGAACTTTCGCATGTAGGTCATCAAGAACCTCTTGTCCTCTGAGTTGGGCGTTGGCTGCAGCGTGAGAACACGGAAGTCCTACTTGATACCCTTGTGTGGATACCCGTGTTGATCATCCCAGTTTGGCCTCACCCCAGGCTGCCCCTCCTCTTCTCTGGGTCTCAGCTTCCCCTTCTGTAAAATGAAGGACTTGCAGGGGGCTGACCTCTGAGCTGCCTCCAAGAAACAGCCTGGGGCTAAAGGGAAGAAATCAGCCTGTGGCGACAAAGGCCTGTTGATGACATCCAGGCCAGTCATTCATGTCCCAAACTCACCCTTTTGAAGGTGCCTGTTCTTCCAGCTTCTCCAGCAGGTGCTGTTAGCTCTGAGCCTGACTAGGACCAGGCTTGAGAGGGTCTCTTATATTTGGGCTGCCGCTGAAGGCAGAAGGGTGAGGCCTTATCACAAGTGTTCATTCCCAGGGACACACATCTATGTCAGGTACTGGCACAGTCCAGGTGAGGGAGGAGCCTAAAAGCCTGAAATTGGCCTGGCCTGGCTCAGGGTCAGTGGACTCACTGCCAGGACTACCCGTGGAGGAGTCAGCAGACAAAAGGCCCAAAGGTGACTGTGAAAGCCGCCCTGGAAGGGACCAAGAACATCTTTGGGCATCCAGGTACCACCCATGGAAATACCCAAGGTCCATGGTCCTAAATCACCAATGAGAGATTTTCTGAACTCAATCTGCCCCCTTAGCAGCTGGAAGGTGTGAGACCTGGAAGTCTGGTCTGTGCTCCAGGGTCTCAGTCATTGGCAGGCTCATTCTTGTCCCCAGACCTTTGCACATGTGGTCTCCTCTTTCTGGAATGTTTTACCCCGTAACTTCACTCCTGGCTTCCTCGCTCAGCTTCAGTGTCCCTTCTGAGAGGTTTCCCTGACCTCCTGCAACCTACAGTGGGCTCCCCTTTTGGCCTCCTTCCAGCACCATCTCCTTCTTCACAGCATGATGACCTTCTGCAGTGACCTCTTTCTCTGTCTGTTGAATTGTTGGATGTCTCTGTCCTCCACCAAGGAGCCTGCCTGCTTCATTCACTGCTGTGTCGCTAGTGCCTGACACACAGTAAGTGGTGAATGAATATAGAAAAGAATAAATGCTGCTTCCTGTGTGCCCTGCACCATCCCAGGGTCATCACTGAAGTCATGTGATGCTGGACCGCTCACAAAGGGCTTGTGTTTCTCTGGGTGCGCGGTTCCTCCCAGGTTGGGACAGTAGGAAAATTTGCCTACTGGGCCCTCCGCAAGCTGAGTGCTCCAGTCATGCAGCTGGGGCCGGGTTAGGATTTCATAGCTCTTTGCATGTTGTTTGCATGACTCAGCTCTGAGCTCTCTGCTTCTGCTTATGGTTTCCCGGTCCGTCGCCAGCTCCACAGAGCTGGACCGCTGTTTCCTCAGCTTCACTCTGTGACCTGGCCTGATTGGCCATCAACAGAGTCTGCCTGGAAGGGCAAATGCAGTGACATTCCTGAGGGAAAGAGTGATTTTGGCAAAGACTGTGGCATGATATTAATAACTTTCATGTCTTGAAAGCTTACTCAGTACATCCACTATGGTATTTAATCTTCCCAGCAGCCCTATGGGGTCGGCACCCTTGTTATCCCAGTTTACAGATAAGTAAACTGAAGTTCAGAAAGTTTTTCAAATTTGTCCAAAGTTGCATGGCTAGCAAATACCACACTCGAGATTTAAGGCCAAGTCTGTTCACGCCAGAGGCCAGGCTTATTCACTGTGCTAAATTTACCTGTCATGGCTTCCCCAGGGACCCGGGGGCCCTCACACATAACTAAGCAGCTGGGCTGACCCTGCTGGAGGCTCTCAGGATTTGGCACTTCCCACAGCTCCCCATCTACTGCTAAAGTCCCGTTTTGGATCCCCTCAGCAGAGGCGCTCCAGCCTGAGCTAAACACCCCCGGTTTCTCCTCAGTAAGATAAGGGAGGGGTGCCAAGTAGGGTCTTTGGATACCTGGTAACACTCCCAAGCCTCAGAGAAAGAAAAGACAAATGGTAAAAGTGGAGGTGAGGGCAGAAAAGGAGCACATACCTGTGGCCTGGGCACCCAAGCAGAGGGTGGATTGGGCTGGGGGTGGGGGACATGTGAAGGCAGCCCCCACGGAGCCTCCCGGTGCTCTGAAGGGAATCTCTGTGCTCTTTTCATCAGGATCAGGCTCCCTGCCCATCCCTCGGGGGCAGGGGATGCAAGCCCGGAAATTCAGAAAAAGTCCCCTCAGTGATTCTGACTTTTCCCTTGGAGTCCTCCTGCCCAGCCTACTGGGGTCTGGTCACTTCCTGGGCACTCACTCCCCAGGCTCTGGGAGACACTCACCACTACTAGGTGGGGCAGGCACCTCTTCACTCCTGCCCCTGACCCCTCACTTCCTGTGGCATTGTGCTGTTGGGCTGCAGGTGGACTCCTTCATGCAACTCAGAGCAGCACTTCCAGGAGCCATACCAGCCCTGGAGGCAGCTGTAAACCCCCTCATGCGGTGTCCAAGCTATAGCAAAGCTGATGGTGCTGGGCTGTGAATGCCCCCTTGTCTGTGCCATCCGCCCTGCTAGGCCATGCGCTCCTCAAACCTTGGAGTCTCCAGGCTGACCGGTGTCTGTCCCCCATGCAGGCAATGACTCAGGATGCAGCCAGGGGCCACAACGTGCACAGAGGACCGCATCCAGCATGCCCTGGAACGTTGCTTGCACGGGCTCAGCCTCAACCACCACTCCACCTCCTGGTCAGGTAGGTCTGAGGGAGCTGGGGAGGTGCTTTTAGGGCCCACAGAAGCCTCAGGTGCTGCCGTGAGCCCTGGACCAGGCTTGGAAGCTGGCAGATTCTGGGTCCAATTCTGTGTGACTTGAGCAAACCCCTGGACCTTATTTGGGCAGGTGCTGGGCACAGCACCTGATGGAGAGTAGACCCTTGGTATGCAGCAGTTTCTCCTCTCTCCCATGCTATCTTCCTCCTCCTCCTCCTCCTTAGGGCTGTATCATGCTTCTCTAGCATATGCTTCTTAGAAGCATAGCAGTTATTGAGCCTGCTTAGAAATATCACAACTGCTGATTTCGAAAGAGCAGCTGGGAATTCGTAGAAGCTCTCCCCAGAATTCTGTTTACTTAGTTTCTAGTTCCTTCCACAGCGCCATCCTCTTCTTCTTCATAGAGTAAGGAACAATCTCAGCAGAGCATCAGAGAGCAGGAGGCCTCCATATTCCGTGTTCCTCAGGACTGAGAAATGGAGGTATCTGCAGGCTAGGGCAGATGTAGCTGCAGGCTAACTGTACCTAACTGTAATAATTCCTCATGCTTGTAAAGACTTTTCACATCCTGTATCCCACTGGCTGCCCTAATTACCCCACAAGATAGATACCCACTGCTTCTTGAACATACCTGGTTCCTTCCTGCCTCAGGGCCTTTGTACTTGCTGCCTGGAACTCTTCCTTCAGAACTGTGCAGAGCTGGCTCTTTGTCATCCAGGCCTCAGCTTAAATGTCACCTCTGAGAGGCTTTCCTTAGCCTTTAGAATTAAACAGATCTGGATTAAAACTGTCTCTCACTGGATGTATAAACTCATACAAGTCAGTTACCCTCTCAGGACCTCACCTGTCTTGTCTATAAAATGAGAACAATAACAACAGGAACCGTTTTCCTGACGGGAGGATGGGAGACTCAGAGATAATATATGCAAAGGCCTAGAACATAGTAGTTGGTCAATAAATGGTCATTGCTTTTTTTCTTCTTGCCTCCTATCCAGATTTTGATGGAACTTAAGCTTATAGAATTGAGGTGGCCATCATTAAGTAAAAGAGTACAAAATATCTGACTTTTGCAAGATTAACAAAAACCTCTGTCCATATGAACACATTGTTAGGGGCCTCAGGACTTTGAAAGGAGCCCATAGGAAACTCATGGTCAAGCCACTTCCACCCCTGCTGCTCTCAGTCCCCAGCACACACACACACACACACACACACACACACACACACACACACACACATGCCTGCATGACCACTCCTTTAATTTTTAGGGGTTTACCCTTGCTGACTGCAGAGGAACAGGAATTGACAAAACAAGAAAGTCTGGGGAAGTTACGGAGTGACAAAGTGCTCATTGTAGCTTTCAAAATATAAATGAATGTAGCTTTCCCTTCCTGGGCTCCATTCCAGGCAATCCTGGGAAGTCCCATGTCTGTCACAGACGCAGCCTTGTGTCAAGGCGGGGCTGGGGGGTGGTCATGGGGCTCCTCTCCTTATTCTTCCAGCAGTCTCTGCCTTTCCCCTGCATCTCAGAGGTTCCAGCACACCCTGTCGGAAGCCAGGGCAGGGTGGTGGTGCTGGTGCTGATGGGGGAACTGGTGCTCTCCAGAGACACAGGGAGCAGCGTCGTGAATCATGACTGGTTTACTGGCCTCTGAAGGGGATCCCAGCCCCTCTCTGTGTCTCTTGAGCTTCCAAGAATAAGAAACTTGTCATTATGTCTTAATGGGGCATGATAGGGTTGAGTGTTGATTGTGAATTTTCTGAGAACCACTTGAGAAAGGAATGCCCCAGTATATAGCTCCAGGAGTTCCCACTTCTCTCCAACCCCAAACTGACCGCCTCTCTCTCCCTTTCCAGCCGGGCTGTGTCTAAACTGCTGGAGCCTACAGGAGCTGGTCAGCAGGGATCCCGGCCACTTCCTTATCCTCCTGGAACAGATTCTACAGAAAACCCGAGAGGTGAGGGCTGGCCAGGGACTGAAGGGCAGAGATGGGGTTGGCCTCATAGACTTGAGAAAGAGGTCTCCACAGAATGTCGACTCTGGGGTGCCTGGAACACCAAGGGGCTTGGCACAGACACTGGGAACCTGTGAGTTCTCTGTTTCAATGGTGCTTGTGGATTGATGGTTTCTGTGAAGGGATGTGGTCCTTTCAATGAGAACATGTGATATGTGAGCCAGGGTCCTGGGTTCAAGCTGCTGCTTTAGACAGGCATTGCTTGTAAATCAAGGTATTGACTAGAAAGAAGGGAGCAAGCCATACTGAATTCCTTTCCTCAAACCCATAAAAGCAAAGACACAAAAGAGAAAACTGATTGGAGAGGTAAACTGAGACCTCTAACAGTTCAAAAAATAGGCTTTTATGACTAAGAGGAAGAGCGTGTTTAACGCTGAGCTTGGTTGGGTTTCCAGAATTGCTGTGAGTCCCTAAAGAGGATTCTGGCTCTTTTGTAAAGAATTATCCTTTTTCACCCAGCTCCCTAACCCCCTCCCCTCTGGCAACCATCTGTTTGCTCTCGGTATTAAGAAACACAAATCGATAGTTACAGTATAGTCACGGGGATGTAAAGTACAGCATAGAGAATATAGTCAATAATGTTGCAACAACTATGAATAGTGCCAGGTGGGTACTAGACTAATTGGGGGATCACTGCATAAATTATATAAATGTCTAACCACCATGCTGTACACCTGAAGCTAATATAAAATAATATTGAATGTCAACTGTAACTGAAAAAAAAAATTAAAAAACAGAACTTTAAGAAAAAACTTTAAAAGTTTTCTTTTTTTTTTTAAATACATGACTGAGTTGGAAAACATTTGACTTTCTCAGTTAGCTGTCCCTTTCCCTATAAGAAGAAAGTCTTGGTTTATCAAGACACCCAAGGTTCCAGTTCTGACACCACCATTTACCTGGTGTATTTATACCCTGATCACAAAAAAACCAACTCAGAAGAGATAAACCACCTCTTACCAACCCAAATATAAAGGCTCAACTACTATGCGGTGATAGGGAAGGGTTTTCTAGACGGGGCCATGCAGCAGGTGGAGCAGACACATGGTCTATTCAGGATAAAGAGAAGAAGAATTCTAAATTTGAGCCTGCTGAGGTCACCAGGCACAGCAGACAAGGTGGGGCTTCCGCTGCGTCTTCAACCCCATGAGTTCTGGAATGAGCTGAGAGACCAAAGAATTGTAAATCATGTGTGTGCACGTGTGTATGTAGTGTGGTGAGTGAGCTCTAGCAAAGAGAAAATGCACAAAAGACTCACTAGAACTTGTAAACAAATAGGGAAAAAATGTTGCCCCAGCTGTAATAAAATAAATGCAAATTAAAACCATAGTGAGACAGTCTTTGCCTAGCAAATTAGCAAAACATGATAACCAATACAGAGAAGGGTGTAGTGAAACTGATACTTTCATACATACAAGATACCATAAATGGCCAGATCCTTTTGGAAAGCAATTGGGTAATATGTTTAAAGGTCATAAATATGTTTATAGTCTTTAATTAATTCTACTTCTTGAACTCTATCGTAGATAAATAATACAAATCACAGAAAAAGAAATTTGCTCAAAGGTTTCCATTGCAAAAATATTTAAATAGCAATAAATAATCTCAAGTGTCTAAAGTAAATTAATAAATTATGGATGTATACCAGAAAGAAGATTATGCAGCTAATAAAAATAATGGATATTATCAATGGGTATAAACAAAATTTAATATGTAATAAAATGGTATCAGTAATATTTATTAAATGGTTTAGGGGAAATTGATTAAACATTTGGAAAAATACAGAGTGAGACGCCCAAGTCATACCATATAGCAGATGGAATTCTAGGTATACTAAAGATTTAAATTTAAGAAAATGAAGCTCAAAGAAAAGAAGAGTATTTACATGAATCTTGCATGTCAAAGCAAAAATCCATACAGGAAAAAATTAACATTTGTAATTTATGTACATCAAAAAAATCCATACAGTTAAAAGACAAACTGAAAAAAAATATTTACAATACAAATAACAGGTAAATGTATAACCAGGAGGGGGAAAAAAGGTGATCTTGGAGACCATGTAGCAAAACAGAAATTCACTTATAATTTATATTTAAAAGACATTAAGAGTAAAAGTATACCCACCATGATTACAACTTTGCAGAGGAAAATACATAGAGAAAAATGGTGTAAGGAGAAGTACGTTGAAACATTAGCTGTAGTTGAGTTTGGAAGAGGGTTATTGTGAGTGCATTCTTTTTCCTAACTTCTATTTTACATTTTTGTCTGGTGGTTACATTGCTTTTCACTTAAAAAATAAGGAATAAAACAAGAAAGTGCTGCCCTGTTCTGCACCTTGTGAATGAACCTCACCTCTCCTCTCGTCCTTTCCACAGGTGCAAGAGAAGGGTACCTATGACCTTCTCACCCCCCTGGCCCTGCTCTTCTACTCCACTGTTCTCTGTGTAAGTTCTGGGGTGCGCCAGGCCGGGGGAGGCGAGGGAGGAGAGGGAAGAACAACCTGCATTGGGGGCAAAGCCCTCACCACTCTGAGGATGAACACTGAGAGAGAAACTGGTAAGCAATGACACTCGAGATGGGTGTCAACCCTCTAAGCAGATTAGCCATCTTGAGAGATCTCTGGAACTCCAAGTGGATGCCATTGTGCCTGGTATGTCTGGGCAGCCATGGCGGAACTGCCGTCACAGCCTGTTCACAAACCATGAAAGAGATTTTGTTGAAAGATTTTATGTCCACCTCATGTTGTACCCCAGTGGTCGCTCCCACCCAATGTGATCACTCCCTGTATTTGACTGGTGGCACCAAATGATTCCGTGTACTGTACATTGAATCAATCCTCTTCAAAGAATAAACATATGCCTCTAGTGAGGATAAATGTGATTTAGGCATTGAAGACCATTCCCCAAAATGAGAGGCAGCAATGGTACCATTTAAGATGACCTCTTAGGTGGCAGCTTTTCAGAGGGGTGTTCTCATGTATTGGGTACACTGTTACATTTGGTAAAAACTGTGTTACTGTCTCTTACAGTAGAGACAATCCCTGGGTGCCATCTTGCCCATTTGTAACTCACTTCCTGTGGGTTACTTTCAATTCTTCCTGACCTCGTCCTTGGACCTACTGCTGCCAAGAAATGTGTGCCCTTTGTGGAACTTTTCAGAAAAGTAGCAGATTCTATTCTGGAATATGGGTGAGCTTTTTCTCACCCAGACTTCTCTGCTTACCTCTCTGTCTTCATTCCAGACACCACACTTCCCACCAGACTCCGATCTCCTTCTGAAAGCAGCCAGAACTTACCACCGATTCCTGACTTGGCCTGTTCCTTACTGCAGCATCTGCCAGGAACTGCTCACCTTCATTGATGCTGAACTCAAGGCCCCAGGTAAGCCCCCAGCTGTGGAGTCAGCTGGCATGTGGATCAGGGATCATGCAGTCAAGAGGTTTGCAGCTCTTCTGAAACTGTTCTTTGGCTACGATCTTCCTCACCTCTCATCCTTCAGCTCATCTCTCCCTACTTTAAAACCTTGGAGTTTCCTCTTCATAATGCTGTGTGCACCAGCATCAGATGGCTGAAAGCAGTGAATATAGGCAGTAACTCGAGGAGGAATTTTTAAGGGAAGCTGAGTAGGGCTTCAGGGCAGGGAGGCCCCACCATGTGACCTTTGCCTCTGCTCTGGTTATCCAAGGGATCTCTGAGGCTGCCCAGGTCAGAAGGAAAAGTCCCCACCATATTGACAAGAGGCTCTTGTTTGTTCTATTTGCCTCAGGATCAAATAGGAAAATGCATGTGTGGATAGAGTCAGTTCTGGTGGGAGAAGGTGGTTGGTGTGAGGAACGGACAGGTTGATGGTTGATGGGCCCCATGACAAGTCTGGACAAAGGCCTGGTACTGTCTGAGTTCTCATATGTAGGAATTCTTGAGAAATTGCAGGTTCTATAATAGACATGAAAATGAGGTCTAAGAAAACTATTGTAGAGCAAGAGAAAATGTAATCAAGTATCATTTACTGAGATGTGGCCTAATATTAGAGGAATTCATCACATCAGTAGCTCAAAGGAATGAAGTCATATAAACATCTTCATAGGTGCCTCTAAAACACTTGATAAAATTTAACATCCATTCCTGATATTCAAAACAACTCAAATATAGGGAAACTACTAATATAGGGAACTATTCTTAATAAGCTCATAGCCCAAAGTGAAATACTAGAGGCATTTCCAACTAAATCAACAATCTTTCTCTTCATGCTTATAGGAATTTTACCTATTAAAAAGAAAGAAAGAAAGAAAGAATGTTTCCTCTTCCAGAGAAGACGAAATTTTAATTTTAATTTCCTCTTCCAGAGATAAAAACAACTGTGTATCTGTCAAAACTAAGAATCACCTGAAAACCTGTCAGACTAGGAAACAGATAGCTAAGAGCTTCCCCAGATAACCTTAACCAGTAAAAAGACATAATGAAAAAAATGATAATAGCCACTAAAATATAAAAGAAATTTGAATAACCTACATAGAGAAAACAAAACTGGATAAATGATTTAAGAGACATGTTGCTAGATTGAATCAATATCATAATAACATCATGTGTTATGGAAATAAATATAACTGCAATCAAAATACTAACAATATCTTTTAAAATTTAACAAAATAAAGTCTATCTGAAAGAATAAATGTTCTACAGAAGCATTTACTTATGCATTTATTATGTATTTATATATTCTTAAAGAAGAGTAAGAATGGGATATTTTTCTTACTAGGTCTTTGAAGTTACTCTAAGGCTATAGTTATTAAAATAGTATACTGTTGGTATAACAATAGACGAATTCGTGGAACAAAATAATAGAATAGCTACAGATTAAATATATACAATTTTGTTATATGACAAAATAGCATACTCAAGTAAGTGATAAAAATAAAATTGGTCATTTAATAAATGGTATCAAGATAATTGACAGACCATAAAAAAATGAGTTAGCATTCTACCTCAAAAAAAAATTGAGTTCTATCTCAGACATAAAAGTAATTTACAAATGGATTAAAGGTTTAAGTATGGAAAACAAGACCACAAAAGTTATAGAAGAAAAATACATTACATCAGGCCAGAGAGGAGAAGAGCTGCCAAACATGTCCCCCCAAGGCCAAAAATTATAAATCAAAAGGTCGACAGATTTGAGGGCGTAAAATTAAAGCTTTTATAGGGCAAAACCCATTATAAGTGAAAGGTAAACGACAAACTAAGAAAAATATTTGCAATAAAAATGAATAGTATTCAAATTCATGAAGAGATCTTTTAAGTTGATAAAAAAAATAGGCGAAGAACACACCAATGAAAATATGGATAAAGGACGTGATTCAAGCACATCAAAAAAGAACCACAAACAGCTGAGCAACACCCCCCAAAATATTCACCCTCACTAGTAATAAAAATGCAGAACTAAACAGTGAGACACTTTTTTCCCCCCTATCAAATTAGCAAGAATAAAAAACCCAAAAACACAAAAATACCAGTGTTTGTCAGGACAAGGGAGACTGCATTCTCTAAAACATTAAAAAGAATATCCTTTCACCCAGCAATGCCATTCCTGCAAATTTATCCTGATAAATAATTATGGATTTGCAAAGATTTTGCTACAAGGATGTTCATCGATGCATTCTTTCTAATAATCAACCAATTCCCAAAGCTTAAATATTGAACATGGTTGAGGTATATCATAGCAAAGTCATTTGGTGGAATGCTAGTCCATCATTAAAAATAATATCATAGCAACAGAGTTGCTGAGATCAAAAGATATTGAATAACTTGAGTAAAAAAAAAATACTATACAACATGCATAGTATTTGGGGGCCTGACTTTAAAAAAAAAATCTGTATGTGTACCAGGCCCTATTTAGTAATGACAACTTCTAATTCTCATTGTACACATTAAACACACACAGGACAGAAGTACCAAATCTTGTTCCCCAACAATTCATGAACACTAGAAAGCTCAGGACTGAAGCTTTGTCTTTAAATTCCTCCCCCAACCTATCATCTGATTTGTCTGCCCCCAACCAATCAGCTGAAATGTCAGCCCAATCAGCTGTCTGTTGTTACAAAATGAGTGGAGCAGACACAGGCCAAGGTTGGCCATCACCCAAGTCTATGCATGCGGATTACATGGACCTCACCTCATGGGAGATACTTGGGTGGAAGAATTAAGAAACCAGGAAAACCTTGAGGAGAAGGTGTTGAACTAGGAAACGTGCTAGGGCACGTGATGAATCAACAGACTGCCAGCCTAACTTTCCAAGACACCCTAGGTGAACAAACCAATTTAAGGTTAACTTCTTTCATTCCCGTCCTCCGTACTGTCCCTCCCCTCCGACCCCCAAACAAAAACAGGCAGATCTAGATCACTTCTGGGCTTCTTGCTGGTGACCAGAATTCCTTTAACAAGAATGCAAAGCTATTCTTCCCGTCTGTAATTTAAACAGAAAAGATTTAAAATGCAAATGCCTTGGCAGGGCCTTTAGTCTATACTGAATATTTAAATGTCCCTTTCTTACTTTGAAATGCATCAAGGAGATGTTGCGTTGAGGGAGGGCTATCACCTGCGTGTGGGGAGACTGCTTCCCAGTTTCAAGTGGCACACACTGGCTCTCTTCCACTGAATGCACACTATGCCTGGAGATATTTTTGTGGGCAGTAGAGCAGGAACTCTGTTCTGGGCAGCCCGGCAAGCAGATGTAGAGCAGAGGGGCAGGCTGTGGTGAGGCCCAGACTCTGGGCTGTGGGTTTCTAAGCCTGGAGACCAGAGGTAGGCAGAGCACCAACTGGAGATGGAAATGGAATGAGGGTCCTTTGGACTCAGAGCAGGGAGGACCCTTGGGACTCTTGTCATTCACTGCTGAGGGCATTCTCCTGGACATTGCCCCTGGGACCGTGTGAGGCCTCAGATATGCTGGTGACCTAGGAGAAGGCAGATGTCTGGAAAGGGATGCTCAGGCCAGGCTGCCGTGCTGGGAACTTCTCCTCTTCCAGGGAAAGCAGAACTGAAACAGGAAACCATTAACTCTTTGTCATGTCAGAGAGTTGTTTTCAAACAATTAAAAAACCTCACTCTCACACAAATGTATAGTGAGCCTGTGTCAAAGATGTGTTCCACTTGTTACTGAGGGAACCAGCAAGAGGGCAGAACTGGTTTAAAGGAGGTTATGAAAAGAAGTGAAATAAGTTTCTCATATAAGCTAGAATAAGGTTGCAAAATTAGAAACAAAGTTAGTTAAAATCACCTAGGGGAATAAAACCGTAACCGTCGAGGTTATCTTTTGTACCAAACAAAAATCACTGATCTCACATCCACAAGTTAGCCTCCAATTTCACAGAACCTGAGCCCTTATCAACAGCAAATACTAAGTTAAACCAAATTACCCTCTTCTTCATGAGCCTCAAGTGGGCTTGTTAGAGAATGCTTTAGCGTGATGTGATTTTGTAATGGCGTGTGGTAATATTTTTGCCTTATTGCTGAGTGCCCCCTTCCCCCAATAAGCCCAGCTGAGGGAGGCGATGGAAGGAAGTGGGGAGGGGGCTAGAATGGAGGCCGGGGATGAGCTCTCGGAGGACAGACTGAGGCTGAGTCACTTAGTGGTCACCAGTTCTTGGTATTAGACCACTGTGGCTCCAACTCCTAGAGAGCTGTGGGGCCTTTGGGGGAGACTGTTTCCTCATCTATAAAATGGGAGTATAATAATAGCTCCATTTCAGAGCAGTGTATGAGGGTAAATGCTGACTTACATTGATTTCACATTGCTGGGACAGTAGGGTTTGGGGTGGTGTTAGCTTAAGAGAGAGGTCCTGGCAAGGTCACAGGGAAAAGATGACAAGAGACCTGAAGAGCGGGGGCCCTCTACCCAAGGAGCCTTAGGGAGCCAGTTGCCATGGAGATTAGTGAAACAGTTTATTCTACTTTGATGTGGCTGCCAGAGGAAGTGGTCAGGTTATGAAGCCTGTGGGCCAATCCGCTTCTTCCTGACTTCACCCCTAATAGGGTGCCTACTGCCTTCACTCTGGGGGTGGCAGGAAACCTCACGTTAGTGTTACCGGGTCCTGCCCACCACAGCCCTCTTGGGTTCAGCCCACATGTTGTTCAATATTTACTCTATGCCAACACAACTGTGCAGACCACAATACTCGCCTGCAAAAAAAGTTATCTGTAATCCTGAGGGGCAACTGTGGGCATCATATGTGTGAGTCACTCAAAAATACACAAGCCTTAATGCCTGCATCTCGCCCAGACCACAGCCCTATGGAGTAAGAGGGACAAGCAATATTATTCCCATTTGGTCCAAGAGACAAGCAAGACTCAGAGAAGTCTAATGTTTCTGGCCCAAGCTATAAAGTCAAGTGTGAGAGAAGGAACATGGGCCTTGGTATGACAATGACCTATGCTTTGTCACTTATTTACCAATGACTTGGGACAGGTTATATAAGTTATGTAAGTTTTGTCTTTGTCAAAAGTAGGACTATTGTGGATGATGATGATGGTGGTGGTGATGATGGCAGCGGTCACATTAACTGTATGCTTACAGGTGCATTAAACACTGTTACGGGTCAGTCTCACCTATTCTCAGAACACCCCCCTGGATAGTTACTATCATTTCCATCTTTCAGATGATAAAACTAAAAGCTAGACAATTAAGTAGCTTGCCCATGTCACATAGCTAACAAGAGCTCTACCACTTGAACCCATATCTGCTCGATTCCCAAAACCATATTCTTTGACTCAAAAACCACATTCTCACGTTTGCATAAAGTTGTGTCTCTACCAAGAGGCCTGAGCAGGTGACTGCGCATGATTAAAAGTCCCTGGGCTGCCAAGCACTTTCTGCCCTTGGGCTAACTTTCCTTTCCTTTCACTTAGTGCCTTCCCACCTTTGACCTCTAATCAAAGCAGGAACCAACCTGGGTTAGGTTAGTGTTGCCTATCAACTGGTGGCAGGTGAATTTTGAATATTCTTTACTGGTAATAAGTTCCTCTTAGAACATTACTGATCATCAACACTTGCATTTTCTACTTTTTGTCTCTGATTAGGGAGTGAAAGGTGTAAACCCCTTGAAAGAAAGTCAACCAACATTGACTAGTAGGTGAGGGTCTATGCAGTTTTACCTCACAGAACACTCTGACACCAGATGCATGGGGCTTTTTTCACCTCACACCAACCAGTTCTCCAACTCTCCAGACATCAGCTGGGCATCCAACAATTCATTTCAATTCTGACACTAACTACCTGGAGTTAGCACAGACCCCACAGGTTACAGGCTCAGCCCCACAAGACTGCCCCCCACTTCAGATGCCAATCACGAGTCTGGGCTTCCCTAACTTCTGGCCAACCAGCTACAAATCAGGGGTTCTCATGATCCCCTCCTCAGGTTTAATAATTTGCCAGAATGGCTCAGAGCTCAGGAGAGCACTTTACATACATTTATTAGTTTATTATAAAGGATATTGTAAAGGAACCAGATGAACAGCTGAAGAGATACAAAAGGCAAGGTCTGGAGGGTCCTGAGTTCAGGAGCTTCTGTCCCTGTGGAGTTGGGGTGCACCACCCTCCTGGCATGTGGATGCATTCTCCAACCTAGAAGCTCTCTGAATCCATTCTTTAGGGGTTTTGTGGAGCTTCTATTAAGTAGGCATGATTGATTAAGTCTTGGCTATTAATGATTTACTCAATCTCCAGCCTCCCTTCTCTCCCTGAAAGTTCCAACCCTCTAATCAATCACATGGTTGGTTCCATAGGGCAACCAGCCACCATCCTGAAGCTATCTAGGGACCCACCAAGAGTCACCTCATTGGCATAAGCTCAAGTCCAGTTAAAAGGGGCTTGTTATAAATAACAAAAGATACTCTCTCACATAGATTTTAGGAGCTCTGTCACAGGAACTAGAGATAATGAATGAATGAATGAATGAGTGAATAAATACAAATATATATATTTCTTATTATGTCATAATATCACAGGGGAAGATTTAGGGAAAGGAGTAGAAGGCAGCTGTTTCAAAAATCACAGGGTGTGATCAGCTAGAACTGGGCTGGCTGCTTATAACACAATGCCCAAAATGACAGTGGCTTAAACCTTTTGCAATCCCCTTCACTTCCTTTCTTCTGTTAACTGGAATGAGGACATGATGGCCAGAGCTGCAGCAGCCATCTTAGATCATGAAGTGACCTTGAAGATGATGTCTCACGCTAAGGCTGATGGAGCAGAAAGATGGGAAAAGCCTGGTCCAGGATGTCCATGGGACCACTGTGACAACCCTGGATTACCTTTTTAAATGTCTTTGTGGCAGGAGAAGGAAGGAAGGGAGTTCCAGCTGATTCCAGCTGATGCTCTGTGCTCCACTCAGGGACTGCTGGTATCTGGGATATTCAGCTCTGGAAATCACTCCCTCTGGGTGAGGGTGTGCCTCAGCAGCAAATGGCAAGGTTATATTGGAGTCAACATAGCTGATAGGAAGCAGCTCTCAGCTCTAACTGCACCGCAGTCCCCAAATGAGACTATTAAGGTATCAGAAAAATAAACAGGTAGAGAAATACAAGATGTGACAGAAAGTTCCTTGTCATGGAGCCTAATGTAGAAGAGCAAGCTTCAAGTAGAAAGTGGTCAACAGTATCAAACACTCAAAAAAAAAAAAGATAATTCAAGGAGAACGATGGTAAGGTGGAGACACTGGGCTTTGTGACTTTAGGAGGGCAGTTTCAGGAGGGCGTTGGGATTGATGCTGATGGTGGGCATTTGGGCGGGAGCCTGATGTGGAGGGAGAGTGAGCTCACCATCTGCTGCCCCCCCCCAAAGGAATGTGGCCAGCTGTGTGGTCTGTGTCAACAGAGGCAGAATTGGAGGGAAGATCAGCAGGGTGTGTGTGGGTTACCTATTATATAGTAAAAGAAAAGTGCAGTTGAGTCAAGAGAAGACTGCTTGTCTGTGTGGCCTGCATCCGGGAGCCTCTGGAGGGATGAGTGTTCCTGTCCGCTACCGGGGGCGCCGAGGGGAGCTTTTCTCTGTTGTGCATGCAAGTGGCTACCAGTCCTGCTAGTAATAACCACTGTTTCAGGGACTTTCCTATCAAAATTGATATAACTTTAACCTCTAAACATGTGACAGTTACATAAAAGAAACACCCAACAAAAGGCCCCAAATCAAAGCAATCAGGTCCTAGCTTAGAAGAGCATAAATTGGTAATTTTCTGCCATTTACAGCTGTCTTCTAACCCGAGTCTTGGCTTTACACTTTCGGAGGGGATTGCCTTCCTGCTCGCCGCTCACACCCAGTCCAGGGTGGCCCTGTCCCCAGACAGGAACCCCAATGACAATTGCCAAGCTCTAACAAGGAGGCTGCCTTTCCCCGAGTCCCAGACCCCGCTTCTGCTCCCCCTTCGGTGAGGAGAGGGAACTGTTGTTTCACCTCCTCACCAGGGTTGACACAGAACTAAATACATATTATGAAGGGTCATTTTCCAGCTGCAGAACTGAATCAAGTTGCAGGGAAAAAGGAAAAACTTTCGGCTTGTTTCTTCTCTGCACTTTTGAAGTCAGAGGAGACGGAGAGGTGCATGAGGCTAAAGAGGAAGGCTGAGAGGGGACCATGGTGCAGAGGCTCACCCTTACAGATGGACAGTCTCCTGAGGGCCCCCTGAGAAGGTGTGGGGATCCAGGCAGAGGATGCTGAGGGGGAGTAAGGAGCTATGGAAGGTGCTGAGACTTAAGTGAATAGGCCAAGCAATGCCTGGTACACCCACTGCAGGACATTGAGACTGAGAGAGGGGAGCAGTGACAGGAACCAGGAACAGCTGGACAGCAGGAGCTCTGGCCTTGGTTCTCCTCCCAGAGTGCTCTGTCTCTGAAGAGGAAAGCTTTGCAAGGTGCGGCCTGGGACTCATACTGTTAACGGCCCTGGAGGCCTCAGGTCTCATCTTCCCCATGTCCTGAACCTCATCCAGGAACCCCCAACTGAATTGTCCAGTGCTAGGCGTGCTTCGAGGCGCAGGGCCATGACTGCTAAAGGAACAGGTAAACCCATGAACTCTGTTCTTTATTCTTTTTCTTCTTTCTGGACATAGGAATCTCCTACCAGCGACTGGTGAGGGCTGAGCAGGGCCTGCCCATTAGGAGTCACCGCAGCTCCACTGTGTGAGTGCTCTTGGGGAGGGAGAAACAGGGCGGGGGTGGGGATGGGGTGGGACCCCCACTCCAACTATTTCACTGTTCCTACACCACCCCAACCCCGGGCATCTGGAATTCCTTCTATCACTGCATCCTCTCCCACCCCAGCCACCAACAAACAGGCTTCAAGGGGACCCTCCTGGAATTGCTGGTGATGTTTTATGCACAGGTTCTTTATTCTGGGCTGAGGGTCTTTCATCAGATTTCTAAACAGGTCTGAGGCTTAAAAAAAAAAAAGGTTAAGAACCCTCTGCATTGGTTGTGCCAGGTGCTGGTCGTACACTATCTCACTTTACCCCACTTTCCGCATGAGGAAACTAGAGGTCAGAGAGGCCAAGTAACTTTCCCCAAGGTCACACATCTAGTAAGTGTCTAGCTGGACCAGGATTTGAACCTCAGCCTTACTCAAAAGCCCATGTTCTTTCCACAGTATCTTTCCGCCTGTTACTAAAACAGCACTTTCCAAACTTTTGTGACCGGAATCTACAATAACTAATTCATTTTAAGTGCGTGTGCATGCGCGCGCGCGCGCACACACACACACACACACACACACACACACCTGAAGCAAGTTTCAGGAAATGAAACTTACCCTTACCCCATAGGATGGGCTCTGTCCCAATCTATTCCATGTCATTTAAAAGGCAATTCCGGTTGTGATTTGCTTACCCACTCATGGGTCCAGCCTGCACTTTGACAAGCACTAGAGAAACCTCCATTCTGAAGACCCTCGGCAGGTCTCCAAGCATGTGGGTGCTGTCTCACCTAGACCCTTGGAAGCCAGAGACCCCAGCCTCCATCAGCTCAGAAATTATAATCACCCCAGTCCCTCCCCATCCTCAGTCCCATGGTGTCACTGAACATTGACACCACTAAGCAACATTTGTTGAGTCCCTCCTAGGTAAAAAAAAACCCCAAAAACCACCACTGGTAGGTTTTGAGAGAGACAGAGGGTGTAAAAATGTTTAGTAAGTGTTAGTTTAGTAAGAAAATAAGACACCTCCCTGGGGGCTGAAACAAGCAGATGGTGAATTACCAACATCTTTTGGGCACCACCCTAAACATTGCTACATCGCCCAATCATCATGTTCACCCTATAAGAAAGGTATTTTTTAGATTAGAGAGCTGAGGTGCAGAGACGTCAGTAGAAAGAGCTTAGTGCTGAGAGATGGTCTCACTTTCATTGTCTATGCATTAGGAATGATGGTAAGTTCTGTGTTTCCCCAAAAATAAGACCCACCTGGGAAATGAGCCCCAGCATGATTTTTCAGGATGCTCGTAATATAAGCCCTACCTCAAACATAAGCCCCAGTCAAGATCATCAGTCAGACATGACTGTTTGAATAAATGTAGATTTTTGTACATGAATAAATAAATAAATAAATGTAGATGGTTGGAGCAAAAATTAATATAAGACCCGGTCTTCTTTTCATGGAAACACGGTTCCTCAGCAGAGAAAGCATGCAGGTGGCAAGGACCCAGGCTTGGCTGGTCTGGTTCTGCACACAGTGGGGCTCAGCACGTGTCTGTGGAAGGAATGATCAAGCGCTCAGTGAAGGAGAGGGCTCAGCTAGGGGCTGCTTATGTGAGCCCGCCCCGCCCCCTTTCTCTTATAACTAGAGAAATCAAAACTAGTTTCTCCCCAAATGATGGGAGCTCTGACAGAGCCTGGTCTGGTCCCTGTATCCTGAGCCCAGGACCCAGCTCTGGGACAGATGTCCGCAGAGACTGGAGGGAATACCACCTGCCTGGTGCTTCTTTGCACTGGGTTCAAACATAGCATGGATTTATGAGAGAGCAGGAGCGAATGTAAGCGGTTCATACGAAAGCATTTACAGGCATAATACCACAATGGCTCGAATACACTCTGAGAAAATGCAGTGACAGGGTTGGTGTAGGCGAAGTGAGAACAGTCTTGTGTTGTTTGCTGTTAACTGAGTGATTGACACCCTCAGGATTCATGATTCTCTTAACATTTGGGTACGTTTGAAATTTTCATAAGGAACAAATTTCAACACTGGCACCAAGGAGGAGCCCAGGGTGCAGTGGGAGGACAGGCGGAGTTGGCTGGGCACACACTCCCTCCCCAGCCCGATGCCAGCCTGTACGATGGGTTTGGCAAGTTAGAAAAGGTGTCCCCTTGGCTCCCCTTCCTCCTGGCACATGCTACCCCATGCCACAACCCTTGGCTTGAGAAGCAGGGCACAGGTTGAGATTTTGGGCCACAGTGCACGACGGCTTGTGCCTGCCTGCTGCCCCCTCCCCAAAACGATCTCCTGACTTCAAGTCACCTCACTTACAATATAATCCTTGTTTGGGTAATCGCGCATCTATTCAGATGTCCTGTAGGAAAAAAAAATTTATATGTAAAAATTAAGGTAAAATTTATTTTTGAAAATTCAGTTCAGTTTTTTAAGGGCCTTTGAAAACATCATGTAAAAAATACTCCAAAGTAGACCATAAACATTCCTCTTGGAACTGGCACCCTGGAGCCCCCACCCTCTCTCCTGGCCTCAGGCCCTGCCTGCGCTGTGCGGAGGCCTGGGCCTCAGTGGGGCGCAGTGCCAGTGTGAGGTGTGTGGCTGTGTCCCCAGTGCCCACAGCCATTCCTCTGTTCCCCCAGCACCGTACTCTTGCTGAACCCAGTGGAGGTGCAGGCCGAGTTTCTCACCGTGGCCAATAAGCTGAGTGCACCTGAGCATTCACCCCACAGCGCCTATATCACCCTGCTCCTGCATGCCTTCCAGGCTACCTTTGGAACCCACCTTGACCTTCTGGGTCTGCACTGTAGGCTGCAGGTATGTGTCTGGGGCCCCGGGCTTAACACCACCCACTTCCAGCAGAGCCCTTCTTCAGAGAGGCAGGGCCTCCTCTTTGCTCCATCTCTGTTCTGCGGCCTGTAGGATACACTGCCCTCCCTCACTCCACGTGACATGTTGGGGCAGTGGCTGGAGAGCTGGCTTTGTTAAGAGGGTTTCTGTTGTGCTGGGTCCAGCATGGGTGGCACCCTGAGCAGTGGGGCTGGGTACAGAGCCTCAGAGGAATGAGATTTAGATTGAAGCTGGAAGACCTGGTTTCTGGCTCTAGCTCTGTGACAGGTCGGTGGTGAGTCTCTGGACAGCCCCGTCCCCTCTCTGGGCTGCAGTGGTGAGCTCTGAAGTCCCTCCCAACTCTGCAGTGCTCTGGCTCTGGGCCTTCCTCTCATGACCGTTTCCTGAAAATAGGGGGTTGGGGGATGGCCTGGCTCCCTGGCCAGCTGTGAGTAAAGGTGGGTGATGAGGCAGGGAGGGGACTGGTCACTGCTGCCCTCAGTAAGACCCTGGGAGATGGAGAAGTCGGGCAGCCAGGCTGTGGTACTGGAGCAAGCCTGTCTCCTCATGGGATTTCAGTCCAAGACCCTGGCAGAGCTGGAGGACATCTTCACGGAGACTGCAGAGGCACAGGAGCTGGCATCCGGCATTGGGGATGCAGCCGAGGCCCGGCAGTGGCTCAGGACTAAGCTGCAGGCGGTGGGAGAGAAAGCTGGCTTCGCTGATGTCTTAGGTGAGGCTCTTGGGAGAGTGGGGCCCACTTTCCCCATCATCTGCTCTGGCTCTCGGGTGAGCAGTCCAGGTTGGCCTGCTAGTTCTGCTCCACACAGTCATTCAGGGACCCACATTTGTCGACATCTTGTTGCTCTGCCATCCCCTGGGACATTGCTACTGTACGCAGGGTTAGCGTTGGGCTGCCATCATGTGGTGGCTTGTGGGAAGAAGAAAAGAGGGTGCTGATTGAGGGCAAGGGGCTTCCTTTTCACACTGAAGATGATGCTGACGTTGCACACATCATGTCTGCACATATCCCCTTGGCCCCCGTTAGTTGCATGGCCACACCTCGCCCCAAGGAGCCTGGGAAACTTCCTCTCCACAACTCTGGTACCACAGAAGAGGGACATGATATTCCGCACAACACCCGAAGGCATGGTGCCATTGTTTTCCTGTTTGGATACTGTAAAATGAGGCTCAGAGGTTGTGACTTGACCACTCTTACCCAATTGATGATACGGCATGGTGTCCACATGGTGCCCTTGAAAGAAAGCCTTCTGGCTGCAAGCCAGGCATCCCAGCTTCCAGCTCCGCCCTGGCTCACCCTGCTGCGTAGCCTGTGGCGGTCCTCTCCCAACTCTGGCCTCTAAGATAAGGGGACTGGGCTGGCCAATTTCCAGGCCCCTTCCCAGGCCTCACCCCCTGCCTGCCCTGTTCTTACAGACACTGCAAAACCTGGCAAGCTCCACACTATCCCCATCCCTGTCGCCAGGTGCTACACCTACAACTGGAACCAGGACAGCTTTGGTAAGCAGCGGGCTGGGAACCTTGTGCTGCCCACCCCCCAAACTGCCTGGGCTCTCTTCCTGGTCCCGGTCTGTGCCTCCCACGCCCCACCAGCCTCTCCACCTGAGCAGGCTTTAAGCAGAGCAGCCCGTGCTCTGAGTCCTAGGCTGGCCTTGACCCTCCTGCTCTCCCCAACCCCATTCTTTCTAAGCCTGTCGCCCCTCCCAAGGGTGAGCAAGAGGGGTTCATGGGTCCAGACACCCAGATGGTGCCTCCCCTTGCTTCCCTGCAGACATCCTACAGGAAATCCTGCTCAAGGAACAGGAGCTGCTCCAGCCAGGGATCCTGGGGGACGAGGAGGAGGAGGACGACGAGGAGGAGGAAGAGGACTTGGAAACAGATGGGCATTGTGCCAAGAGGGACTCACTGTTCTCCACTAGCTCGGAGGCCTCCCGTGACTCCTCCCTGTCCCTTGCCTCGTCCCAGGCCTCCGGAGCCACCCTCTCCCGCCAGCTGCTGAACTCCTTTGTCTCAGGCCTCTCGGATGGCGTGGACAGTGGCTACATGGAGGACAGTGAGGAAAGCTCCTCTGAGTGGCCCAAGAGACCTGGCAGCCGGGAGCGCCGGGGCTACCGCAGGCCGGGGCAAAAGTTTAACAGGATCTATAAACTCTTCAAGAGCACCAGCCAGCTGGTGCTGCGGAGGGACTCGGACACGGGCCTGCCCCTGCGGCGGGCTGGGAGCCTCTGCAGCCCCCCGGAGGGCCAGGCACTGACCCCCTCCCGGGCCCAGCGCTCCCGCTCCCTGCCCCAGCCCAAGCTCAGCACCCAACTGCCCGGCTGGCTCCTGGCCCCAGCCTCACGCCATCAGCGCCGCCGCCCCTTCCTGAGTGGGGATGAGGACCCCAAGGCTTCTACACTACGCGTTGTGGTCTTCGGGTCCGATCGGATTTCGGGGAAGGTGGCTCGAGCGTACAGCAACCTGCGGTAAGAACTAGAATTGGGGGCGTCACTCTGCCCTGGGTAGCAGGCTGGTGGTGCTGGTGCAAGCTGGGGCTTGAGGCTTAGATCCAAGAAGGACCAAGGAGCTCCCTTGTCACCATCTTCTTTTTGCCAGGCGGCTGGAGAACAACTGCCCGCTCCTCACACGGTTCTTCAAGCTTCAGTTCTTCTATGTGCCTATGAAGCGAAGCCAGGGGGCCGGCTCCAGTGCCTGCCCAGCCACTCCGAGCCAGACACCCCTACTCCCCACAGACTCCCCGAGGCACCCCAACTCTACAGTATGTCCCCAGTCTTGGACCAAATAGGGTGGGAAAGTAGAGTAGACATGAGTAGGTTTCAGTTCCCTGAAGGGGGCTGGTTGGAAGTCACCACAAGCAATCACCTGTGTTTACAGGGGGCCGCCTCCTGCCAGGGGTGGTTTCTGCCTTGCACTTGAGTGTGGCATGTTGCTATATGACACAGACTGAAAGTTGTCAGATTTCTCCAGGGGCAGGAAGAAACTCAGATTGGGGCTGCAGGTGCCGCCCAGGGCCCTGGAGCTATGATGGCAGGCCTCTTGGGCAGCTGGGAGTAACTCTCAGCCCTTGTCCCAGGAGCTGAGCACAGCCCCATGGGAGGAGAGCACCAACGACATCTCCCACTACCTCGGCATGCTCGACCCCTGGTATGAGCGCAACGTGCTGGGCCTCATGCACCTGCCCCCTGAAGTTCTGTGCCAGGTAAGTGGCCCCTGGGGTGGCAAGAGAGGGCTCACTGGCTGCCGTCACCCAGCCTTGCTTAGAAGGCCCTGGTTTGGGGAGCTCCAGCTTGAGGCCTTCATGGAGGACCAGGGCTCCCTGAGGAATGAGCAGGGAGGCTAGGTGAGAGGCAGGACAGATCCTGAACCCAGGTCATGGGGGGTCAGGGGTCAGATCACTACAGCGACAGCGAGAGTCCTCAGAAAGGCCCAGGGGACCTCAGGCTTCAGCCCCATCCTCAGCTCTCCACTTTGTCCAGCTCAGCCAGGGGCCTTCCTGGAGGCCCACGTGCCAGGTGAGGGAGGGGTGCGGAGACCAGGCTAAGGGTCCTCCCCTGACCATTCTCTTTCCTGCTTCCGTCTCACCATGCCTCTCCCTGGCTGTCTGCCTCTGCACGTCCTATGTGGGTATGTTCCTCTCCCTTCCTTTCATATTCCCTTTCCCTCTCACTTTCTCTCTACCTGTCCCTCTGGCTTGGGCTCCCTCCACCCCACAGCATTCCCTGAGGGCTGACTCGCGACCCCTGGAGGGCTCCCCCACCCAGCTGCCCATCCTGGCCGACATGCTGCTCTACTACTGCCGCTTCGCTGCACGCCCGGTACTGCTGCAGGTGTATCAGACAGAGGTAAGGCCTGCCCTGCCGCGCCACGCCGCCTCTCCCCCCACACTCACTGGCAGACCTTCCTCAGCATCGCCAAGTCCCAGCCTGTGCCCTGCTGGGCCGGTCAGGCCAGCCCCCACCCCACAGTAGCCCCCAGCCCCGTGCTAGAGGAGCCTGAGGGGCCCCTGCAGGAGGCCCACGCTGATGTCCTCCCCTCTCCAGCTGACCTTCATCACTGGGGAGAAGACGACAGAGATCTTCATCCATTCCCTGGAACTGGGTCACTCTGCTGCCACACGTGCCATCAAGGCTTCAGGTGGGTGCTGCCTGAGTTCCTGTGGGGACAAGTGGGGAGGGTGAAGAGGTGGGGCCAGAGAGAGGCAGGGCCCCGGGAAAGCGGGACCCCGAAGAGGAAGGATCACTGGAAGGCAAGGCCAAGGGTGGGGGGAGGGTAGGTGGAGCCCCGGGTCTGTGCGAGGCACGGAGGGAAAGGGAAGGCTATGTCTCTGTGTGGCACAGGTCCTGGCAGCAAGAGGCTAGGCATTGACGGGGACCGGGAGGCCGTCCCTCTAACACTACAGATCATTTACAGTAAGGTAAGGCCAACACCGGGGCCCGTGCCCCCGAGAGCTGTTCCTGATCCTCCCTCACCCAAAGCCAGACTCTTAGGTTCTTGGGCCCGGTTTTTAAGCTGGAAGGCTGCAGAAGGCTCCCCAGGTTCCCCTGGACCTTGGGGGAAGGGGGGAACGGGAGGGAGTGGGCATCCTTTCCCCCGCTCTACCTGCAATGCCTTCCCACCCTGTGTTCTTCAGAGTGCTCAGCAGCTCCCATGGAGTGTCAGGGCCTGGCTCCGGGGCTGTGGCTGAGAGCGGGGCAAGGGTCGGCTTCCAGAGGCAAAGTGAGCGAGCGGCCAGGGCCTGTTGGCTGGTGTGCCTGGCTGGGTACATGGAAGGCAGGATTGGTGTGAAAAGGGAGTGAGGATGTTTGTGAGGTGGGGGTACAAAGGGCATGGGCACACCAGAGGGCATGAGTCTCTGAGCATGTCACACCCTGGGGTACAGGCCGCGAGAGGCTCAACCTCACCAATGGCAGCCCTCCTGCCTTCTTTTCTTCCTTCCTTCCTTCAACCACTCAAAAGATAGTCATTTAGCACCTGTTCCTGCCAGGCTATGTGCTGGGCAAGGAAAAATTCAGTAAGCAGGGAGGGCTAGGCCCTCCCTTTAGCTTTTTTAGAGGAGCAAGACAGATAAGGAAACAAGTAAATGGCCAAGATAATGTCAGAGTGGTGAGTGATGACAAGGCAGTAAAAGGGCTGATGAGATAGTGATGATGGGGCTACTCCATGTGATGGCCATGGCAGTGGCAGGAGGGACTGACCCTGAGAGCTATGTGCCAGGTCTTTGTTAAACATCTATGTCCCAGATGTTCTAGGCACAGGCCTGTTCTCAAGAGTGAGCAACGTGCTTACAGCCTAGAAGGGATGGTAGGCATTGGTTAGATGAACCTACAGATGTAATTACTGTGAAAGACAGAGGAAGAGAGGTACATGGTACTGTGAGAACCTCTAAGGGGATTATTCAACCCAGTCAGAAAAGCTAGACAAGGCTTTCTAGAGAAGGGACATTGAGTCAATATTGGAAAGAAAGCCAGGAGCTGATTAATTAATCTAAGAAGAGAGGGATGTGTTCTCTAGGCAGATGGGTAGCATGTGCAAAGGCCCTGAGGTGGAAGGGAACATGAACATCAGAGGCTGGAGGGGCTGGAGCAGAGAGTGAGTGGGAACGTGACGATGAGGTGAGGCTCAAGAGAGAGGTGAGGCCAGAATACCAAGGGCCTTCAATGTAACGAAAGGAGTTTTGTCCTGTCCTAAGAGCAATGTGTATCCTTTGAAGGGGCTTAAGTTTGGGGTGGGGCTGGGGATGAATGTGACATGATCAGATTTGAGGTTTAGAAGCACCCTCTGGCAGATCTGTGGAGAATGATTGGTGAGAATCACAGGGGACGTGGGAAAGCCAATAGGAGGCTCCTGTGGTTTTACCGGAAAGAAATGTGGGTGGCGTTAGACTGGTGGTGGCGGAGATGGAAAGAAACGGGAGCTATATGTGGATTATGTGAACCACAGGATGGGTTGGAAAACGGGAGGCCCAGACTTCCAGATTTTAGTCTTCCACGACTAATAGTACCATTTTTTCCGAAGTAGCCCAGGTCTGGTGGGGGAAGAGCACGAGTGCGGGACATGTTGAGTTTGAGGTGCCCTTGAGGAGTAGAAGGAGGAAGTTAGAACAGGCAGTTGGATGGATGGGCCTGAACTCAGATGTGAAACGTGAAGATGGGTGTAAAGGTAGTCATTAGGTTCCCTAATGAAGGAAGAAGGGATGCAGACCACAGAGAACCCAGGAGAAGGTCCTGAGACAGTCACATGACAGCAGGCAGAGGAGGGTGTTGGCACAGAGCAGAGGCCCCAGCCAGAAAAGTAGCGGGGAAACCAGGAGTGCACCATCAAGAAAGCCCAGGAGAGGAGTGGGGTGAACAGAATCAAGGTCAAGTAAGCTGACCTTGAGACTGATCAAGGACTGAGAAATGCTCTTGGGTGTGGCCACATGGAGGTCCCTGGTAGAAGAGACATTCAGAAAAGGATCCAAAGAAGGTGTTCTGACTTGGCTCTGCCAGGAACTCCAGGCCTTTGGGCCCGTTTTCCTTGCTCTGGGCTCAACAGGAGTTCATTAAGACCACCCTGAGGTGCTCTCAGCTCTCGTGCCCTGTGACCTGGCCACGAGGCTGACCTCATGCACCAAGCCGGTGAGCTGATGCTCCTCCCTGGACTCACCAAGATGTATACAGGGGTCAGAGCTCTTGGGGAACAAGTCCACAGACTCGGGTGAATGAGAGAGCGCCTCCTGGGTGTGCTAGCAGCAGGCAGCTCCCTGCCACTGGTGTCTGGAGCCTCCTCTTTGAAGGGAAGGCAGCAGGTACTGGGGCCTCCACACTGAGGGTCTGGTCTGGCTTTGCCACAATTCCAGGGAGCTATCAGTGGACGAAGTCGCTGGAATAACATGGAGAAGGTCTGCACCTCAGTCAACCTCAACAAGGCCTGCCGGAAGGAGGAGGAGCTAGGTGATTGGGGCAGGCCGGGCACCGGGGGTGGGGCCGGGAGGGCTTCTGAGCCTGGCCTGAGCCGCCCTTGTCCTTCAGACTACGGCATGGAGGCCCTGATGCTAAACCTGACAGAAGTGGTGAAAAGGCAAAACCCCAAATCCAAGAAGGGCTTTAACCAGGTAAGGCTTTCCTCTCCTTGCAGCCACATTCTCAGGAGACATTCAGGGTGTGTGTGTGCGCGCCTCTGTGTGTGGGCCCACGTGTATGCGTGTGTGCATGAGAGAAGGGGTGGCCAAGGGCTGTAGGGGTGGAAGGAGAGGCAGGGTGAAGGGTGTGGTTTAGGGGTGTGTGCATATGTGGAGTGCTGCAGGGTAACGGGGAGGAAGAGGAGCCCTTGTGAGAGGATATGTGTGTGAGTGAAGCAGAGCAGGCTGCCTCGGGGCTCTCACGGCGAGGGCACTGGGTAGTGCAATTTTTCCTTAGAGGGCCTGCTTCTTCCAGGCTCAGGAAGGGGCAGAGGCTGGTGAGGAGCCAGGGCCTGCTGGCATCCTCAGGACCTCTCCCCTGAGTTGGCCATTAGCCTTAGAGTGCCGCCAGCCAAACTGCGCCCCCAACCCCCAGGCCTGGTTGGGCAATTCCAGGGGAAGGAACTGCTGAGGGCCGGGAGCTCTGTGGCTAGGGGTCTGGAGGCTGACCTGGGCCTTCCCTCCAGATTAGCACATCGCAGATCAAAGTGGACAAGGTGCAGATTATCGGCTCCAACAGCTGCCCCTTTGCCGTGTGTCTGGACCAGGACGAGAGGAAGATCCTGCAGAGCGTGGTCAGGTAGGAAAGGGGGCTGCCTAGCTCTGCTTCAGCAAAGTGGGGTCCCAGAGAAGGGGTTAGTTTCTGCACACCCCTACCCAGAGGCCTGGGGGTTGCTGGAAGGATGGGAGGCCTGCCCTTACGCCTGCCTTTTCCCACAGGTGTGAAGTCTCACCTTGCTACAAGTCAGAGAAGAGCAGCCTCTGCCCTGAATCCCAGAGGCCCCCGCACCCACTGGCCCAGCCTGCGCCCAGCCTCTGCTCCCTTCTGTGCCTGCCCATCATGACTTTCAGTGGAGCTCTGCCCTAGTGAGACCCCACACCAGCCTGAGAAAGCCCAGAAGCAGCTTCTTCTGAGCCTCTTCCCAGACAGTGGGCTGTGAGGGCCTCGCTTCTTGTGGAGAAGCAAATAGCCCGCGCTAGGTCAGGGTCCAGCTGTGGGCCCTGCACTGGGCAGGGGGCAAGGGGGTGATGGTTTCTGGGACCTCAGTGCTCTGTTTGGGCAAACACAGGCATTAGGGAGAGAGGTGCCTGGCCACACACAGCCCTTCAGATTCCTCAAGGTAGAAAAGAGAACTGACCTCTAGCCGGGCCACTGGCCTGGTCTAGGACCCCTTCTAAAAGAAAGATCTGAGGCTCTGGTGCTCCGGGGTGTGGTTTGGGCCTCTCCTCCCAATCTGTGGCCAGGCCCACCCTTTTTCTGTGAAAGACCTGAGGAATTCTGTGTGTCTGGAGTGCAGTCTCCTCTGCTTTAGAAAGTGGATGAGACTTTTCTTTCCTGACCTTCAGTACTATCCCCCCACCCCCTTCCCCCTCCTCCTCCTCCTCCTCCTCCGCCTTCTTCCTCCTTCTCCTTCTCCTTCTCTCTCTCTCTCTCTCTCTCTCTCTCTCTCTCTCTCTCTCTCTCTCTCTCAGACACACACACATGCTTTCTCTGTCTCAGGTTCCCTGGGTCTTCTGAAAAACAGCACGAACACTTTATCTGTCTACTGTCAGGACTTGGTACAGACTCTCCCTGGAGCCCCTTTCTGGACCTGAGGTCCTTGGGAGACAGGACAGGCTTACATTGTTGCGACTAAATGACTGGAAGGAAGTTAATTAGCTTCTTGGAGGCCCCCTTTCATCAGCACTAAAGTGGGTGGTGAGGGGGAATAAAGCCTCCTTAAAGGGTTGAAAAGGAATTGCAGAGTACCTTGCCCCATGGTGAGCTCATAGCTGGTGCTCAGTAAAGATCCACGGCCTTGCTCGGTAAACACTGACTCCCCTGTCTGGTACTGGGGTGCTCTCACGACCTCTGGGAGGCTCTTCATTTAGTCCTTTCCAATACACCAAGACTTGAGGGGGTGAGGTGCGATTAGTTTTACCCACTGGAGGAAGAATTGCCTGTGTCAGGGTGAGAGAAGGGTTGCTCTCTCTCAAGTTGGCCCCCATCTCCCCCCGCCCCACACTTCCATCTCACTCCTTGGGCTTCCCAGAGGAGTAGAGGATGGAGCTTAGAGCCTGATTGGGGGGTAATGGGTAATAAAACATGAGAGCAAAAGATGTAAAACTGCCAGGTTGGAGTGGTTTGAGAAGTCTGAAGTAAAGATATAGCTAGGGAGGTAGGGTAGCAGTCAGGGCTTGGGGCCAGGATTTGAAGGGTAGAGTTGGGGAAGGGAGCCATGGAAGCAGACAACTGTATCCCACGAGTCCCCCCTTCCTCTCCTTCTCCTGCTTCATCCTGCTTTAAAGGGTCTGGGCTTAAAGGAGCCCATGAAACCCCAGCCCAGAGTGCTCACAACTTGAGAGACGTGGACAAAGCCAGCTCCTACCCAGTATTGCCCTTTCTACTCTGTCCTGGCCAGGCTCCAAGGAGTGATCAGCCACATACCTTCAATATTTTTTGTCTTGTAAGTCGGTTGTCGTACTACATGCTCAAAAATTTTCCAAGAATAAATGAATGGAATTTAATATTATTATCAAATAAAACTTACTAGTCTTGTATTTAATGACCTAGAGTTATTTTGCTGCATGACAATTCACTGCTAGTTGGAGAGTTCACATAAATCATTGCACATATAGCAGGAACGAGATTACTGGGCAATGGTTTTATTTATCTTTTTGTAATTTTCCTCTCTATAGAAAATATATTTATGCTGAAATGTTCCCTGACACTGTTTCATTTAAGCCTCATTATGCTGCTGAGGGGGACGGAAGGGAGCTCAGTGCTGGCCCTCTGGCTCTGGAGCAGTTTTTAGACTTGGATCATAGGGAGGGAGAGAAGAGGAAGCGAAGAGATGGTGGAGGACACCTGTGACCTGGGAGAAGTAGGTAAGCACCAGTTTCCAAACACAACTCCTCGCGGTGGAGGAAGAAGGGACATGAGATGCTCTAGTTCTACATCAGCTCGCTAATGCAAACAATAAAACACACCTAACACTCAGTGGACTAAAACTATGATTATTTATTTCTTTTTGCTCATGCGTCTATAGGACATCTAGGTATCCCTTGATCTACTATAGTTTGGGCTCAGAGTAGCATAGCTCCAAGCTGCAGGTTGGTTTCAAGGCTGCTTGGTGGGTGTCTCAGGCACCTTGGTCCAGCATGTTAGCACAAGACAGGTAAGCAGAGACATATGATGCCTTCTGGGGCCGGGCCTGGAACTGGCACAGTATCTCCTCTCCCAGCATTCAAATGGCCAAAATCGATGGAAGTACACCAAACCCACAGAGACAGGAAACTCAGCAACTATCACACAGGATAAAAACAAAATTACATGAGAAGAGCACTTCACCTCTGATATTCTTTTCAAAGTCCCATAACTTCCATCTAATCATGAGGAAAATATCAGGTGAATTCAGACTGTGGGACATTTTTACAGGGTAATCTGACTAGTACTCTTCTAGACATCAGTGTCACGAAAAGCAAGGAAGGACTGAGAAACTCACAGACCAAAGGAGACTGAGGAAACCTGAAAACTAAATGCAACGCGGGACTTCGTTTTTGTTTGTTTGTTTGTTTTGTTTTTTTGTTAGTTTCAGGTGTACAGAACAATGCAATAGTTATCCTTTTCACCCTTCACACAGAAACAACCCCCCTCCCCCATCGACTGCCTTCCCACCCCTGATATCATAGTTATCTATTATGATTCTGTTGACTCCTTTCCCACACTCTACTCCATGTGACTATATATATATATATATGTATATATAATTATAGTTGACATACAATACTATTCAACATCAGCTTCAGAAATACAGTGCGGTGGTCAGGCCTCTACACCGACTATGAAGTGGTCTCCCTAACAAGGCAATGTGGTACTTCGGATTTGTTCCTGAAACACAAAAAAGGATATTAAAGGGAAAACCTGGTGGAATCTCAATAAAGTTTGGAGTTTAGTTTTAAACATACACACACACACACACACACACACACACACACCCTACCTCATTGTCAAACTCCTGATGGGGGAAGGTAATGAAAAATTTTTAAAGACAGATTGAGGAAAAAAAATATACTTTATCTTGAAAGCCTCAACAAACTGAGAGCGCTCTTCTCAACAGAAGCAATGGAAGCCAGAAGACAATGGAATGACACCTTCCCATCACCTTCAAACTGATGGGGGGAGAAAAATCCATCAACTTAGAATTCAATACCTAGAATTGTCCAATGATTTTTTTTTAAATTATACACTGCTCACAAGTGACACAATTTTTTTTTAAAGATTTTATTGGGAAGTCGGGGAAGGGATACAGCCAAGTTGTTGTCCTTCCATCCTAGTTGTAGAAGGTGCAGCTAGCTCAGCTCCAAGTCCAGTCACCATCCGGCCATCCATTGGCAGCTCGTGGCCGCTCAGCTCAAGGTGCCGTGTTCAATCTTAGTTGTGGGTGAGCATAGCCCACTATCACATGCGGGAGTCGAATCAGAAACCTCATTGCTAAGAGTGCATGCTCTAACCACTGAACCATCCAGCCATCCATAGGCAGCTCAGGGCAGCTCAGCTTAAAGTGCTGTGTTCAATCTTGGTTGCAGGTGGGCGCAGCTCACTGGCCCATGTGGGAATTGAACTTGCGACCCTGTTGCTCAGCGCTGATGCTCTTAACCAACTGAGCCACTCTGCCGGCCCACAAGAGACACATTTTAAATCTAAGAACACAGAAAAGCTAAAAGCAAATGGATGACACCATGCAAACTGACCCAAAAAGCTGATGGTGTTACTCTAAAATCAGACAAAGATTTTAAGGCAAGAAGCATGCTAAAAGATAAAGAGGGACATTTTCTAAAGCTCAAAGAGTGAAACCAAGAAAAAGATATAATCAGGAATCTGTATGTACCCAATGGCATATATTTAAATTTAAACTATAAAGCAGGGCCGGCCGAGTGGCGCGATGGTTAGGAGCTCGCTTGGGATGCCAGAGGGCCCCGGTTCGGATCCCACATATGAGGGCCAGTGACACTGCCCTCCACAGCTAAGATGCTGAACAACAGCTCAACCTGGAGCTGGGATGCCATGAGTTGCCGGCGACGGCGTAGGCTGCACTCCCTGTGGCAGTGGGTTGCCATGGGCTACCGTATGTAGCCAGCAGCCAGCGTGAGTGGCCAGCAGCCGCAGTGAGCAGCCGTCCAGAAGCCGGCGACTGATCTTCCTCGCCCGGGAAGAGCGCGATGATGGTGCCAACTTGGGCCAGTGAAGCAACGTCCTTCACAACTAGACTGAAGAACAAAACGACAGCAACTTGTCTGTTCCCCTTCCCCCAATTCCCCAGCACTGTTCCCATCCCCCCAATTCCCAATAAAAAAAATCTTAAAATAAATAAATAAATAAATAAACAAACTATAAAGCAAAAAATGACAGAATTAATGTTTCCACAGCCACAGTGAAAGACTTGAACACACCTCTCTCAATAGTTGATAGAAAAAATAGACAAAAAATCATTAGTGATATAGAGGATCTGGACAAAGCAATTAATAAATGTGAACTCATTAAAATAGAACACTGTGCCCTACAACAATTGACATTATTTTTAAGTGCAAGTGGAATATCAAACTTCAAATAATAGAAATCAAACAAAGTATATTCTCTGACTACAGTGAAATTATCGATAACAAGAAGATTACTGGAAAATCTCAACTGCTTGGGAATTAAGCACTACATCTCTGAATAATTCACAGGTCAAAAATAAAATAAAATAAAAAAATGGAAGCTAGAAAATGTATTGAGCTGATTAATAATGAATATATGATACTGAAACTTGTGGGATGCTAAAGCAATGTTTAAGAGAAAATTTATTGTCTTGAAAAACAATATCTTAGAATGGAGCAAAATCTAAAAATCAATTATTTACATTTATACCTGAAAAAGGTAGAGAAAGAACAGTAGATCAATCCTGAAGAAAGTAGAAAAAAGTAAATATGTGTAAGAACAGAAATCTATGAGTATCATAGATTATCAACGTACTATGGATAAGCCCCTAGAAAGACTGATGAGAGAGAATAAATTAATATCATGAATGAAAAAGAAGACATCTCTACAGATCCTACACACACTAAAAAGATAATAAAAGGATATTATATATATATATTATATATTTATATATATAATATATATATTCACCAATAAATTTGGCAATTTGGATAAAATGGAGTAATTTCTCAAAAATACAATTTGCCAATTTGACAGAAGAAACGGAGATGGACAGGAGAAATGGATACCCTGAGTAGGCTAATATTAAAGAAATTAAAAAACATTTTTTTAAAGATTTTTATTGGTGAATTGGGGGGATGGGAACAGTGCTGGGGAATTGGGGGAAGGGGGACAGACAAGTTGCTGTCGTTTTTGTTCTTCAGTCTAGTTGTGGAGGATGTTGCTTCACTGGCCCAAGTTG